CTGCGCCCCCCGCCGCGGGGACGCGCCCACGCGGGTCAGTGCCGGGACCGGGGGGTACCGGGGGGCACCGGGCGCGATCCTCGCCGGTGCCGCACGCGGCCCGGGGCCGGCACAGGCCCGCGGCCGATCGTGGCCAGAAGGGCGGTTTGCGGAGGGCACCGGGCCGGGCGGCCATCCCGCGGGATCGGTGCGGGCACGGCCGTGCCCGGGGCGCTGCGGGAGGGGGCGCGGGCGGCGAGGGTGCGGATGGTTCGGGAACGGGTTTGGGACAGCGTGAGTGACCCGGAGCTGGCTGGGACCTTGGTCTCTTTTCGGGTGCTGCTGCCTTTGCTGCGGTTTTTGTCACAAATGAGTGCCTTCAGGCAGCGGTGAGGCGGGTGTTGCTCTCAGCGGGCGGGGACAGGTGGAGGCGGGGATTGAGCCCGAGCCTCTCCCCGGAGCCCCGGCCGTGCCGGGAGCAGCGCTCGGAGCCGTCCCCGCCATCGCTCCGTTCGGGCGTGAGCCGGGCCGGCAGCGGGCTGCGATTTGGTGAGGGAGAAATAAAACGCAGTGCAGCGGCTCGGCCGCGGGTGCTCCTCGCCCGGCTTGCTCGGCGGGAGGTGCCTGCCCCTGCATCTGCTCATTTCCACCGGAGATGCCCTTTTTGCCAGCAAAACCCCGTTACTTGCTGGTGGTTTATCCCGGTGGAATGAGCTGTGTGAGCAGAAGGAGTTTGGTGCCGGTGTCACCATCCCTGCTGTCCACCCAGCCCTGGCTCCTGCTTTTGCTGGAGCCAGGTGCCTCCTTGGACAGAAGGGGCCTGGAGAAGGTGTTGGAACCACCAGTACACATCTCTGTGATCGCCCAGCCCAGAGAGGCTGGAGGCTCCAGCTGCAGGCAGCTGCCTAGAGATGCTCCTGCTATCAGTTCAGTTACCCCTTGATCTTGCAGGTAATTTGGTCTCCACAGCTGCCCGGAGCACACTGCTGTGGCTCAGGATAATGCCCCGCAGTCGCTCAGATGTGGGGCTGGGTTTTCCAAACAAGGAATTTGTTTGGGTTCAGAACTGACTTAGTCTCTAAATTTCCAGACTTACCTGTGTATTGACAGTGTTTTTGTGTTGTTTCTCCAATAAATTGTGTCCCTTAGGCACGTTGTTGCAGCGCTGGAATGTGCCCCCAGACCTGCAGCTGAGCAGACAAATGGCTAGCACAGGCGTGCCTGGGCAAAAGGGCAGTAATTCGGTTTTTGTCCTTATTATGGGCTTGTCCACCTTAGGAGCAGGTGCCTATGTAAGTAGAAAGGTGGTTCCTGGGAAGAAGCTGCAGTCCATCTCTCCTGTCGAGCATTTGCTGTATTCCAGCTCTCTTAATTCAGCTTTTGATTTCTGTAGCTTTATCTCTGTTTCCTCCTTCAGAAAACTCCAAGGGCAGCTAAATGGAAAGCAACTTCTTATGATTACATGGATTTTAACTGTAATTTCAGTTACCTTTTAGGTTTCTTTACCTTAAAGGCACTCCTGGGTTTTTTTTTTGTTATGACCAGCCACAGCTCTGTCTGTTGTCTTGTATGGGACAAACAATTCCTTGCCAAATCTCAGTTTAGAAGATTTGTTTAATTTGTGTAAGTACACCAAATCAACCCCCAGTTGGGGACTATTTATGTTCTACTTAAAAAGGATAAAGGTTTGCAGCCTGAAAGAATAAATGACATTCCCAGAGAGCTAGAGAGTTTCAGCATTGCCTGGGAGTGGATAGATCCCAAGTTAACACCACACAAATCTTTGTTTCCAAGCTCTTTCTCTAGGAGGATCATATTCACTAAAAGTTCCAAATCCCAGTTTTCTCCAAAGGAAGCTCCTGGGAAAGAGGAAAAAAAATTCAAAACAATGCATGAAAGAAAAATATTTTCCTATTTCCTTTAAATATAATTCTTTCCTGTGGCCTGCTGCCCGTTTTTTTTTTGAGTTTTTTTTTTTTTTTGGCAGACAAGGTAGCTGAAATTACAAAGCACACTCTGCTTTTCCCAATACCTGTTTAATCAAGAATCCTTCCTAACATTCAGCTCTTTCCCTCTTCTCTTCCATTGCCTGTCTTCCCCTGCAGTTTTGCAATGCCATCAGCTAAGATGCCCTTCTAGATCCCTGACGTCTTCAGGTGTTCCTGGCAAAGCTGGCAGCAACCTCTTGTTATACTTAATAGTGGGAGGAACAGTCGCAGGGACAGGAGCTTATGTAAGATGCTTCACTAAAGGTGTTTGTGGGGTGGGAGGGTGGAGGGTGGGCACCTGTCTGTACCTCCCACCCTGTAGCACTTCACTTTGTGCTCCCTGGCCTCAGGTACTTCATTTTCAAGGGACATTGCCTAATAATTTAAGGTTACAAATTGAATATTCTCATATGGTGCAGTTCTTAGTGGAGAAACCTGCCTTAGAATGAACCTTTCCACATTAAGTAAATCTAAACTCAAACTGACAATCTTTGTGACTGTGTAAAGGCACAAATTATTAATTAGTGCACTTCTCATTATATCAGTAATGCTGGCATGCAGAAAAGGAAATGTAAGTGTGCTCAAGGGAAGGAAGGAAAACTTGTGCAGCTTGGTGATTTCCTCACGGAAGAGCACTGCTTCTCATTATATCAGTAATGCTGCATGCAGAAAAGGAAATAATACCTGAATACAAGTGTGCTCAAGAGAAGGAAGGAAAACTTGTGCAGCTTGGTGATTTCCTCACGGAAGAGCACTGAAACGTCACCCCATGTCCTGGCAAAGTATCGTGCTGCTTCTAACTAGAAAGAACTTGACATTGTCCCGTTGGAAATATTTATCCTCAAGGCCTGGTCTCATGTTTTGCCTGTGCATAGTAATGTTTTTTTCTAAAGGATCAGATTTAATTTGCTGTATGCTGCCCTTTGGACTTGCTTAAAACCTTCCTTGTTCTGCTTGTAAAAGCAGAGGTGGTTTGTTAACTTTGGCTTTTCTGTCTTTGAGCAAAAGGCTTTAAAATACCTTTATCTTAATTATTCTAAACACTTACAAATTCTTGTTTTCTAATATTTCTGGCATTTCTCCAGTTCCCTGGACAGGCTTTTGTCCTGTGCTCTTTTTTTTTGTGCCTGGCATTAAATTCCTTTAGTCTTGTTTAAAACTATTTGCTATAAAACACCAACTTGTGAGGATTGGCAAATGAAATTTGATGTCATGCACATGATAGAGATTATTAGCAAGGCTGGGTTTAGCCCCAAAGAAAGGTTTGCTTCCCTTTAATTTTTTTACCCTTGAGGAAAAATACTGGACTGTGACTTGCTCCCAGCACTCCCTGGGAGTGTCTTCAGCTCCTGTTCAGGAGAACCCAGTTTTTCTTGTACGTTAACATGATATAAGAGATGTTCCCCCCCGTCTGTACCAGTAAATTGTACATGCAGGCTCTGCTTATCCTGTATCCTGAGGTTCACAGTCAAGTGAACAGGTCAGCATTCAGCTGGAAGAGATTCCACGTCCAAGGGCCAGTGCCTGGAGCAGCCCCGCTCCCGTGGCTCAAGGCCCTGCTAATGTCAGGGCCATCCTGCCACCACCATGCCTAGAGAAAGCCAGTCAGGTTGTTGGCTCTGCCCAGCTGCTCTGGGCTTTGGAAGGTGGGAGATGCTTTTTCTTTGGATTTTTCTTCCCTTTTTGTAGTCTTGTGTTGTGTCATGGCCCAGCTTGCATGTCACCTTGGGGCTGCTTTGGCTGCATTTCCTTCAGTGGAGCTGGTTCCCCTTAGAACAGGTGTGCAGCCAAACTCCTGCAGGAAGGTTCATTGCTTCTAGAAGGCAGCCAGACATCCAAGGCTCACCACACCTGGTGGAGCAGGTCATTTTCTGAGCACTTTCTCAATGGGCACCTTGTCTAGGGAGGTTTATTTTGCCCCACATGTTGTCACTGGCTTTTCCAGCATGTGGGGTGCACAGAAGCCTGTCAGGGGCAGCAGCAGGATGGTGCCTTGGTGTTGTAAGGTGTACTAGGTAAATATTTCCTGTGTGTCTGCAGGCGTACAAAGCAATACAGGAGAGCAAAGAGCGATACGCCAGCCGGCTCGCCAGGATAACCAGGCAATCCCAAGACCAGGAGTCCTCTGCCTCAGGTGGGTACCAGCCTGCCAGGTCAGGGGTTGCCTCTGTTCTTCATGAGCCTGAGGCCTCCTAAACAAACAGAATAGAGCCTCTCTGGAATCACAGATGTGCCTTTGTAGGATTGCACCTTTCGGTGTGTGACATTCAAGGCCAGGTTGGACAGAGCTTGGAAGAAACCTGGTCTAGTGGAAGGTGTCCCTGCCCATGGCAGGAAGGTGGAACTGGATGAGCTTTGACATCTCTCCCAACCCAACCCATTCTGGGATTCTGTTGTTCTATGACTTCCCAGCACAGAAGACAGTGCTGGCTCCATGACCCAGAAGAGGCTGTTTTACAGACCATCCTGTGGATGAAGTAGGATGTCTCCTGGGGCTCATTTCTGTCATTTACTCCTTTGGTGGTAAAAAGAGAAAAAAGTGAGCCCTGCTTCTGGCTTTTACCTTTGCATAGTCTGGCAAGGACAGTGATTCCCTCGTTGGAGGAGAGCCTGTTCATTCTGGAGTGAGCCCTGAACTGCAGCTCTCAAACTACAGCCTGTGCTTCGCTGATTTAAGACATGTCTTTCTTCCCTTTCAGGTGCAGGTGCAGCTCCTCAGGGCACAGCAGGTGAGTTCTGGTGCCAATACTTAACTGCCTGGTTTGTCCCTGCCCACGGATTAACTGCATGTTTCTCAGCAACAGTACTTGCCTGTGGGAGGAGGTGCCTTCTGCAGCCAACTCAAAAGTTGTCTCCTTGAACAAAATTACCAAAAAATGTGCCTTGGCCTTTTGGGGAACTTCCATTTCTTATAAACTGCTCATTGGTTGGCCAGTGCAGACTTTCGGGCTTGCTTTGAAAAACCAGTTTGCTGAAATCTGACTGATTCCTGCAGGGAGCGGCTTTGGGGGAAGTAGCAGCAGGGTTCTTGGGAAGGGTACTGGGACAGAAGGAGGACAATTTCCAAAGGAAGTCTGGATGTGGAAGGCCCCTGGTGACATACTCTATGCCCTGGGGCTGGGCCATGTGCCTGTATTTGCAGTAAGTTGTCCCATCTGTCACCTGCAGCTCCAGGCACTCATCCCAAGGTCCCATCCCACGTCCCCTTCCTGCTCATTGGGGGAGGAACTGCTGCTTTCGCTGCTGCCAGATCCATCCGGGCCCGCGACCCCGGCGCGCGGGTAAGAGCTGTCCTGCTCCGTCCTGCCCTGCTCTGTGTGCGCTCCCATTTGCCTGCTCTCGCTGCAGCTGATGTGTTTCCTGGCCAATTAAAGGTGCTGATTGTGTCTGAAGATCCTGCCCTGCCCTACATGCGTCCACCCCTTTCCAAAGAACTGTGGTTTTCCGATGATCCCAACGTGACGGAGACGTTGCGCTTCAAGCAGTGGAACGGCAAGGAGAGGAGGTACGTGGCACTGCAGGTGACAGGGCACAGGAAGTGGTTAGTGACAAGGTGACAATGACCAAACTGTTCTTGGGAGAGAACCACCAGCCAGTGGAGCACTGAAGGTAGGGAAGTGTGTGTTGGTGCTAGCAGGGGTTGAGGAATTCTGCTTCCCACCAGAGCTTGCTCAGTACTCAGTAGCTCTTGAGCTTTGCTGTGATTCCCTTTAGATATGTCCCTCTGTGGGCAGGAATCCTGGGAATTAACTTAATAAAGGTGAAGCTCCACAAGTTAGAGCCGAGGTCCAGGGACACACTTGATTTTTGCAGCTTCTGTGATTAAGCCTTGCTTGGTGGTTGGACTTTATGGTCTTTTCCAGCCTGACCAATTCTATGCTTCCGTGATCCAAACCCTACAACTTAACAGTGTGAAGACCCTAATTCTTAAAAATAGATAAATAATTGTGGAGCTTGTTATGGATGCACAGAGCTGTCTTTGTCTCGTTGGAGTTGCTGAACAGCTGGATTTCTGGTATCCCAGAGCAAGGGGAACCTGTTTGATAACGGAGCTTTTCTCAGTATCTATTTCCAGCCGCCATCTTTCTACGTGCCTGTCGAGGACCTGCCTTCTGTGGAAAATGGTGGGGTGGCAGTTCTGCCTGGCAAGAAGGTAGGTACAGCACTGACTGTTGTTCCTCTTCCTGAACAGAACCTCTGCTCTAAGCTGGTACTGAACCACTGGAGTTGGAGGGGGAGTTGGCTCGGAAGGGGAATTTGGATAAGTTTGGGAAAAATGTGATGGAACAGAGATTATGCTAATCTGAAATGAAGTTTGAAAGTGGGAGAAGCCAATAGAAATAGGAGTGAGCTGAGGGAAGATGATGAGGAAGAGAGAAGGATACATTTGGAGTCTGGGCATGGGACAAAAATATGTAGACCTTAGATACAGGGTGTGACAAGTGGGAACTGGGCTGTGTGGGCTGGAAGGTGAGGTGAGGAGAGCACAGAGATCAAGGTAGTGGGTGATAAGGTGAGCAGGAGCACTGTGCTGAAGCAGCAGGAAGGTGGAAAAATTTGTGGTGAACCTTCTAAAATATTTCTATCCTTGGTTGTTTGTATGTTGCTATAATAAATGTCCGTGATTCCTCTTCCTGCTGAGATGTGCTGTGTCTGAGCCCATTTCACACTCAGACCTTGGGAAGATCAACCTGAGTTACAGTGACTCCCAAAGAAGTTGTCTCAATTCCCACTTCCAGTCCCTCACTTCCCCACTCCTGCCCCCACCCTAAACCTAAAGGTGGGAGAATGTTAATTCCAAGTTTGTAACTCTGCTCAGTAGTCCATGAAGTGAAGAGCTTGAGCTCAGCTGGGTTCATCTTGCAGGTTGTGCACATGGATGTCAGAGGGAACACAGTGAAGCTTGATGATGGGACCCAGATATCCTACGACAAATGTCTCATTGCTACTGGTAAGTGCTGTGTTTTTTCTCTTGTTCCTGGTCTTGTGCCAGGCTTTTTATTTCAGTGACATTTAGCTAGAGATAAATTCTCTAGAGTACCTCCCCTGTGGAGTCAAGCTGGGAGAGCTGGGGGAGTCCAGCCTGGAAAAGAGAAGGCTTTTGGGAGATCTTTGAGCCTGCCAGTGCCTAAAGGGGCTCCGAGAGAGCTGGAGACGGAATTTGGACAAGGGTCTGGAGTGACAGGACAATGGGGAATGCCAGAGGGCAAGGTTAGGTGGGATACTGGGAAGGAATTCTTCCTGGGCACAGGTTGCCCAGAAAAAATGTGGCTGCCCCTGGATCCCTGGGAAGTGTCCAAGGCCAGGCTGGACAGTGCTTGGAGCAACCTGGGATAGTGGAAGGTGTCCCTGCCCATGGCAGGGGGTAGAACGGATCAGCTTTAAGGTTCCTTCCAACCCAAACCGTTCCATGATTCTTTGGTTCTATTTGAGAACAAGTCTGCAGTGTCAAACATGATGCTGAACAGTCACATGAAGGACAGTTGTGCAGACAGCCATGATGCATTTTTCACCTGCCGTGCATCATCAGATTTTCTGGGACATTCAGGCAGCAAAAGAGAAGAGATACTGGGATATTCCCATGCTGGAACAGTTTGGGAAGCACAACTGATATCTGAGAGAGCTTTGCACTGTCTGGATATCCAGTGCCATGGCTGTGGTGTCACTAGTCTCCTCTCCTTGTTGTGTGCAGGGGGATCCCCAAGGAACCTGCCTGCCATCGAAAGAGCAGGAAAGGATGTGCAGAAAAGGCTGACCCTGTTCCGAAAGGTAACCTCCAGGTGCTGCCAGCCCCTGTGAGGCTGAATAAATCAGAGCCATTTACCACTCTTTTCAGTTTTTAAACTCTTCTGCTTTGAGTTGGGATGGTCGTGCCTTGGCTCGTATGCTTCCCTCAGATGATTAACAGTATGTGGGATTATGGGGTTTACGTATTTTTTTTTAATTTTCCATCCTGTGTGACTTTGCTGCACCTTCCAAAGTGAATGAAAGCCATTGAATATGAGCAATGCTGCCATTCCTGTTAGAGGGGATTAGAAATGGGGTAAATTTTCTTTCAGATCGAGGACTTCCGAAGGCTGGAGAAGATTTCCAGGGAAGTCAAGTCCATCACAATTATTGGTGGTGGTTTCCTCGGCAGCGAGTTGGCCTGTGCTCTGGGAAGGAGAGGTGAGCGTGTCCCCAGCTGTGACAGGCACTGAGTGGCAGCAGCCTCATATTAGAAACTTCTTTTCAGTCCCCAGCTGCTCAGTTTTTGCACAGACTGTGTTTGCCTAAAGGAAACAACACACGAGTGCTTTGTTGCCTGTGTGGCCAAGGTTTTCCCAGTCTCACCCTCATTAGCAGCCTCTGACCACAGAGGTGCGAGCTCTGCAGGCCAGTGTGAGCTGCAAAGTCATTCCACCCTCTGAAAAGTTACACTTGTTCTCTGTGCTCAATGCCACCCTCAAACTATAATTTTGGGGTTGGAACTGGATGATCTTTAAGGTCTCTTCCAACCCAAAGCAGTCCATAATTCTGTGATTTCAAAGAGGTGGTGAGCAGCTGGATTCTGTCAGTGTGTGCATAGGGCCTTTATGGTAATTTTTTAAGGATTTTGCCAAAATACCGAGTGTTTTCCCTAAAAGTCTGTTATCTAGACTTTGCAGGTATATGTGAAACAGTAGTCAGTCACTTTGTGACTCTTTGGGAGTCAGAACTCCCAGATTTGGAAACTTCTGTCAAGCTCCTTGTGTAAAGTAAAGTGTGTGTGTGTTCCAACATCTGCTGCTGCTCTTCATCTTGCTGCTCCATGCTTTCCTTCCAGCACGAACCCGAGGTCTGGAGGTGATCCAGCTGTTTCCAGAGAATGGCAACATGGGCAAAGTCCTGCCTGAATACCTGAGCAACTGGACCACGGAGAAAGTCAGAAGAGGTGAAGCTGCTGAGCGGGTTTAGGGTGGTTGCTACCAGGCCGCTGCTTCTGGGGACATCCAGCTCCTTTCTGTCCCTGGAGCCTTGGGAGGGCTGGGCCCTGCAAATTGGCCTGGGTGCAGCACAGAAGTTGCAGTTCAGGCAGCTTGGGCAGCACAAAGCTGCCATGAATCCTGAGCTTCTTGGCAGTTCCTCTGGGGAGGCTGAGCAAGCAGGCTTGCTGGTGTCAGTGAGGCTTTCCTTCCCTGTGGCTGTTTTCCTGGAATGATCTCTGTGTCTATGCACACACCTGGGTCACCTGGGTCAGGCCAGGTGCTGTAGTGTTCAGCTGATAAAGTCAGTAAGATCCAAGACACCTTTTTCCATTTGATGCATAAAGTGCAAAATAATCCTGTGCATTGGGAAGTGGAGAGGGAGAGAGGGAGGAGGAGTGTCACTGGGGTGTGGATTGCAGGGTCTGATAACCCACAGGTCTGAGTTACTTTTTTTTGGAAGCTGCGTTGTTGGACCTCTGGGTCTGGCTATGGCACAGCAATAGGTAATTGAGTGTCCTTAGTTCCTGAACACGTGTTCTAGGGAATTCTTTTGGATGTGGCTTTATCATCACATGAGATGTACTTTGGATTGTCTTTTAAGCAGCTTTCAGACTTTTTATCTAGCTTTCTCCTCGTGCTTCCTCCGGAGCTGCACTAGCACATGCAGCAAAGCTCGAGTGGGCTCTGTCTTGGTTCCTCACCCGGCATCTGTCTGCACCAACCACCTGCTGCAGGTGGGATGTGCCCAGTCTTGAGCAGGCAGTGAGGTGTCCTGTGCTCATTTCCAGAGGGGGTCAATGTCCTGCCTAATGCTGTGGTCAAATCCGTCTCTGTCTCCGGCAACCGGCTGGTGATTAAACTGAAGGACGGCCGGAAGGTAAATGCGAAAGCAGGGAGAGGGTCACGTTTGGAGGAGCACACAGGGAATTAACATCCTAAATATGCATTCCCAAACAGGTGGAGACAGATCACATCGTGGCCGCAGTGGGGCTGGAGCCCAATGTGGAACTGGCCAAGTCAGCAGGGCTGGAGGTGGACTCGGACTTTGGGGGGTTCCGGGTGAACGCAGAGCTGCAGGCACGCTCCAACATCTGGGTGGTGAGTGTGGGCACACCCACTGCATCTGGGTGGTGAGCATGGGCACAGCCTCCCACATCTTGGTGGTGAGTGTGGGCACACCCACAACATCTGGGTGGTGAGTGTGGGCACAGCCTCCCGCAACATCTGGATGGTGAGTGTGGGCACAGCTTCCCACATCTGGATGGTGAGTGTGGGCACAGCTTCCCACAACATCTGGATGGTGAGTGTAGGCACAGCTTCCCAGAGCTGCTGCTGCTGTAGTGGGACACACAGAGTGACAGGAAGAGGTGAAGAGGAGCGAGTAAGGAGAGCAGTTGTAGCGCAGGCCCAGAGCCTGGTCAGGCGCTGCAGCCACCTCGTTGCCGTGGTAACCACGGCAAGTTTGGAATATTTATGCTGTGTAAGAGGAGTTGGGGTAACCTAAAGATAGCGTGGATCACTTGCTTGCATAAGAGTTCCTTGGTGGGCGTTGATACTTTGATTCCTCTGGAAAACGTACCTCATGCTGCATTATTTTTCCCAAGATCGGGGGAAAATGCTGAGAAACTGGGATTTGTGTAGTCCAGGGAGTGGGATGAGGTAGTGGTGGTGTTTGGGGTTTGTCAGAAAAACTCAGTTCCTTGTTCCACTTGTTCTCTTCCTGATGTTTTTTGTTTGGGCACTGGTGGAAGCTTTCCCTGTCGCGCTGCTCACGGGGTGGTTCTCTCCAAGGCAGGGGATGCTGCCTGCTTTTACGACATCAAACTGGGCCGCAGGCGTGTGGAGCACCATGATCATGCTGTGGTGAGCGGGAGACTGGCTGGAGAAAACATGACAGGAGCTGCAAAGCCCTACTGGCACCAGTCCATGTTCTGGTAACAGTCCTTTCCTCTTTGGGGGTTCCTTGGGTGGCCACGTTGCAGGAGCTTGGACAAGATACACCTTGAGAAGTGTCTGTTTCCCAAGGGGAGTGAAACCACCTCAGCAAACACCTTGTACAGCTTCATGTTCCTAAAGCTCAGGGTGGGGGAGGTGTTTGAGCATTTGCTGCTCTGCCCTCACCTCCCTCAAGTGCTTTCCCTTCCTGCAGATCCCAGTTTCTCCCTGAACAACTCCCGTTCCACAGAGCAAGGAGCAATACAGAACAGCCCTTTCCTCAGAGCAGACTGATTTACTGGTTGAGTTTAGCAGCAGCTTTTCTGTTAAGATCATCTGAAATTCCCCAGCCCAGTCTGTGGGTCTGACTGTTGTGCTTCGTTGAACTGATGTTTTAGTGGCAAAGCATTGCTGCATCCAGGTGTACCTGAAAAGTTGTTTTCCAGAGAGAGGTATCGGGAAAGTGGGAAATTTGGCTATATTTTCCTGAAGTTCTTTTTAAAACAAAATGAGAACAGAAAAATGAAACAAAACAAAAGCCCCACAAAAAATTAAAATCCAAAAGGCTGTTAGTTCAGACCAATTAAAAATCCCAAATCCTGTTTATTGACAAGATTTCAAATGTGGGTAAAAGTTTTAGTTTTTTCAGGGAAATCCCTACAGAAATAGTTATTTATCATTTGCTGTCACTTACCTGAACTCTTGGTCTGTCCTGCCTGGATTCAGGGTCCAGAGCATTTCTCACTTCATTTCTAAACAAGAAACATAGAGCCACAGAATCCTTGAGGTTGGGAGAAACTTCAGAGGTCATCAAGTGCAGTTAAAGACAGAGACAGGCATTTCCCAGGGGTGCTTTCCCCTGGGATGCTCTCAGCCATGACCAGATGCAGGTGAAGGAGGGCTGTGAGATGCAGCCCCGTGTTTGCTGGCAGGTGTCACACTATGCCAGCCCTCGAAGAGTGACACTTCCTTCCCCCGTGCTGAAAACCTGGGAAATTACAGGAATTCCTCATGCATTTTGTCAGCGTGCTCAGGATCCTGATCCTCTTGGAGGGAAGGTTGTGTGGAGACCTCACAGCATCTTCCAGTGTCTGAAGGGGCTACAAGGAAGCTGGAGAGGGACTGGAGTCCCTTTCCAGTCCCTCCCTCAGGACACGGGGGAGAGGCTCTGAACTGACAGGGGAAATTTAGGTTCAATACATGGAAGAAACCCTTCCCTCTGAGCGTAATGAGACCCTGGCACAGAGAGGTGCCCAGAGAATCTGTGGCTGCCCCTGCATCCCTGGAAGTGTCCTAGGCCAGGCTGGACAGGGCTTGCAGCAATCTGGGATAGTGGAAGGTGTCCCTGCCCATGGCAGAAGAGTGGAATGACATGGGTTTTAAGGTCCCTTCCAACCCAAATCACTCCATGATCCCTCCTGAGCTCCAGCTGATCACAGGAGGATTCTGGTCGGGGAGGTTGTGTTGTACATAGATTCATGGTTTGTGATGCACCTGTTTCCTCAGCACCCTGGGAAACACTTCAGATACCTGCTACTTACGAGTCCCAAACCACAGTTGCTTTATCTACTATCACCACCCCAGTTCAGACCCAGGTGCCCAGCCTGAGCTCCAGCTGATCACAGCTGCCATGTTACTGGTGCTCCTTGCAGTCGCCCCAGTCTGTGCTGGAGGATTCTGGTCGGGGAGGTCGTGTTGTACATAGATTCATGGTTTGTGATGCACCTGTTTCCTCAGCACCCTGGGAAACACTTCAGATACCTGCTACTTACGAGTCCCAAACCACAATTGCTTTATCTGCTATCACCACCGCAGTTCAGACCCAGGTGCCCAGTTCAAGAAGGTTAGGGCAAGGTTTCTTCCCTTTAGACTTTTCTAAATGCTCTCAAAAATATTCACTGAATGATTGTCCATGCTGCCAAGCCTGGTGTGGATAACGGCACTGCCAGAAGCTGGGAATCCTCCAGCTGCCTGTCAGGGAGCAGGCCTGAAGGATTTCAAAGTTTTGGCCACTGAACTAGTTTTTCTGAAGCTCATGGCCTTGGGCTTGTCATGTCTTGACTCCTTGTTCCACCTGTGTGTGCAGAGGAGGCTCTGTGTCTCAGTCAGTGTGTCAGTGTCCAGCACTGCCCATGCCATGCTGGAGTAAGGAGTGGAGCATGGATGGATGGATGGAACTGCCTTGGATTTGTCTCTGCTACAAATTACTTCATTCCCACTTCATTCCTAGGAGTGATCTGGGCCCCAACGTGGGGTATGAAGCCATTGGCCTTGTGGACAGCAGTTTGCCCACAGTGGGAGTATTTGCCAAGGCGACAGCGAAGGACACGCCAAAAAGTGCAACAGAACAGTCAGGTAGGGACTGGGGAGCTCCTGCACATGCTGGTGTGGGGACCACAGAGTCACCCTGACCTTTGAGAGCACAAGGAAACAGCAGTCTGCTGTCTCGTTTGTAAAGGCTGGCTTTTACATTAAAATGTGATTAAAACATTCTTCCAAGAAGGTATCACGGAACACGTCTACTGCCATGCAGACTTTCTTAGGGAGTTTGATCTCCTCCTTGGCAATGAAGTGATCCATTTGGGACCACAGAGACTCTGGATCCAGGCATATTTATCTTGTATCCACTGCCTGGAGGAAGCAGACTGTGCTCTTCTTTGCATTGGGGATTGTTGATGTTATGCTCCATGCTTGGATTGTTTTATCCTTGTGTTAATGAAACGTAACTTTTGGGGAACACAACTCAAAGGGAAACACCTCACACTCCTGCAGAACATGCTGTTGAGTCTGCTCCCATCATCACATGTCCTGCACTGGGTGTGTGACTCCTCCTATTTCTACCTTAGGGACTGGAATTCGATCTGAGAGTGAAACAGAAGCGGAAGCCTCAGAAGTTCAGATCTCTCAAAGCTCTTCACCAATGCCTCAAGTCCCAAAGCAAGGAGAAGATTACGGCAAAGGTGTCATTTTCTACCTCAGGGATAAAGTCGTGGTGGGAATTGTGTTGTGGAACATCTTCAACAGGATGCCCATTGCTCGGAAGGTCAGTGCAGGGCGAGGATGATGGACAGCGGGGTTTGTTAGAGCAGGGCTTTTCTTGTGGAAAAATCAATCTGTCAATTCAAAGTGAGGATAAATAAAGGCAGATGCTCTGTCTGGTGCAGAGCTGGGCAACATCCAATGGGAACACTGTTCTGAGTGAATTAGGGGAACTGTCCCTGTGCTTTTTCGTATGTTTGTAAATTTTTTACACAAATAACTCAAATCAGGTGTGTGCTCCAAGCCTTGCCTTGGCATGGCTGAAATTCCAGGTCTGTAGTACAGGCTGGAGTCACAATGATGGCACAGGAGTGAAGTGTCCCATTTTTGTGCTGCTTTGTCCCATGTCCAAGCATCTGAAAAAGTCTCAAATATCACCATCCCAGAAACAGCCACCATGGCAGGGCTAGAGCAGCCCTGAGCAGAGGCTCAGTGTGTTCCCACCCCCATGGCCCAGACCTCTCAGCTCACCTAAGCCAGACCCAGGTCAGGTTTTAACACCTTTGAAGAATTTTGGTTGTTTGAATTGTGGGAGTGATCCCACACTACCCTCGGGTGATCTGTCCCAAGACAAACTATTCATCTTCAGATTAGATCAACTATTGTTGATATCTAATCTGAAGATGCAGTTGAAACATGTAGCTTCTGCCATCCCCGTGGGAGATCCTGCCTTCCTTCCTCCTTTCCTTCCTCCCTCCCTCCCTTAGCAATCCTTATCCTAAATCTGTGGTGTCTTCATCTTGTCTAAAAGTTGGAGGTTCAAGTCAGGTATCCTGGCTCCAAGTCAGGGCCAGGCTCACCTTTGCCGAGCTGAATCACTTTTCAAAACACTTGTTCTCCCTGGCTGTAAAGGGAAACCCAGAAACAAATCCCACAGGGACAGGAGGTTGGTTTTCCTGCTGTTCCTGTAGGCGGGTGATGGTACATTTAAGACTCCCATGTGAATTAGAGTGTAGAAAGTGCTGTTGTGTTATGGCTGTCTCAGTCTGGTGCTTCAGAGAGGATCCAAGGAGTTCCTGGCATTGGCTGTGACAGTCCTGCAGCACTGGCTCTCTAGAGGATGTGCAGGATTTAATGTGTTCTCCATCTTCCAGATCATCAAAGACGGGGAGGAGCACGAGGACCTCAATGAAGTAGCAAAGCTCTTCAACATCCACGAAGACTGAACTCCACAGCAGGAACATCTGGAGGAAGTGGGCTGCTGGCTGTGTGCACCCCTGCACCTTGGGCAGCTTCCTGGGAGCACTTGGGAATATTCCACTCACCCAAGCCCAGTGTTTGCACCAATAAAGTCAGATTGTTCTAGTCACCTGCTCCTTCCTGCACCACTGCCTGGCTGGTGAGGAAAGGGGAGCATGCTGCCCCACTGGGGTCACTTTTCCCTTGTGTGAGCCTTGGAGAACTCCCTCTTTCCTTGCAGGAATTCCCACTGGGGAATAAGTAGGCCTGCAGGCTCTCTGCCTGTTCTCTAGACTGTCGAAACAGACTCAACTTGGGAAAAATCAATTACCAATCAAAATCAGAGCAGGATGATGAGAAGTAAAACAAATCTTCAAAACACTTCCCCTCCCTCCCTTTCCTTTCTGGGCTCTCCATCCTCCCTCCCATCGTCACAAGGAGATAGGGAATGAGGCCATGGTCCGTTCATCATACGCTGTTTCTGTGCCTGCTCAGGGAGAGGGGTTGTCCTTCCCCTGCTCCAGTGTGGGGTTCCTCCCACAGGAGCCAGTGCTCCATGAAGTTCTCCAGCGGAGTCCTTCCCATGGGCTGCAGTTAAATCTTTAATCCCGAGGTGTCACCACCATCTTTGCTGGGCTCAGCCTTGGCCAGCAGTGGTTGCATCCTGGAGCCGGTGGTATTGGCTCTGTTGGACATGGGCAAAGTTCTGGCAGTTTCTCACAGAAGTCACCCCTGTAGCCTCCTTGCTGCCAAAACCTGGCCAAGCAAACCCAACACACCTGACAACTGCATTGGGTGATGCAGGGCCTCATGGTGCCCTTGGGCCATTGTGGCACTGCAGGGCCTCATGACACCAAGGGGCCATTGTGACACAGCAGGGCCACATTCTCCCCATGGGGTGTTTAAGGAGCCCCTCTGGAGTACCAACTCAAGCAGAACACCTTGCTGATGAAGTAGCAGCTTCCAGAACACCTGTGGAAAAGTAGCCATGGAGGAGCAGAACCCCAGTCCCCAGAGCCCCAAGGAGAGGCACCAGCTGAGAGATGGAGGGAGAGGCCAACAGGAGGATGGCACCAGGTGTACCAGCACCCTGCCCAGGCAGCTGCCTCCGTCCCACAGCTCTTCCTCCTCCCGCCCACAGCTGCAGCAGCCTCGGGGCACCCAGGGCCAGTCCCTGCACCGGCTGACATTGCCTCGCAGCTCTGAGGCCCAGTCCGTAACCCGGCTGACATTGCCTCGCAGCACCCAGGCCCGGTCCCTGCACCGGCTGACATTGCCCCGCAGCACCCAGGGCCAGTCCGTAATCCGGCTGACATTGCCCCGCAGCTCTGAGGCCCGGTCCGTAACCCGGCTGACGTTGCCCCGCAGCTCCCAGGGCCAGTCCCGGCACCGGCTGACATCGCCCCGCAGCTCCCAGGGCCGGTCCCGGCACCGGCTGACTTCGCCCCGCAGCTCTGAGGGCCGGTCCGTAACCCGGCTGACATCGCCCCGCAGCTCTGAGGGCAGCCAGGCCTGGTCCGTGCCCCGGCTGATCTCATCCCGCAGCTCCCTGAGCTCGGGGGGCACCGAGAGCGGTCTCAGGCCGGACGAGGGGGGCCGGGAACAAGGCCCGCAGGGGCGCAAGTCCCGCCCTGGTGGTTCCTTGCAAGCGGCCATCCCGGCCAGCAGAGCCGCAGCCCGTGGCCAGCACCGCCCCGTGAGGAGCCGCCGGGCCTGCAGCGGCCCGGTGGGGCCACAGCTGGTGAGGGCCAAGCACAGAGGGCTGGATGAGGGAGGCTTTCCCTGCCCACAGCACTGCACGCCCAGCAGCTGCTGTTGGGGGAAGCCCAGCAAATCCGCTACAAATCCCCAACTCTCCTTCCAGGCCTCCATAAGGAAACCAGTTCCTGACCCACAGAGAAAGGCCTCTCACCATATGGATCAGGAGACCCAGACTGAGACCTGGGCACAAGAGACAGGTTTAGCTGTTCAATATGCCGAGCAGGAGACACAGACAGATACTGTGGCAGAAGAGGAGAAAAATTCAGCTGCTCCCCTCATGGCTGACCAGGAGACAGAAACTGAGACTCCAATACAAAAGAAGAGTTCTGCTTCTCTTCAAATGACTGATGAGTGGACACAGACCAAGGCCCACAGCTCTGCCCCCTGCACAGGCACTGAGGCTCACCAGCAGCCGCGCTCCCTGTTCTGCAGGGCATTCTGGCACTCCTGCACGGCTGGACAGCCTCATGCTGCCAGCGCCCTGCAGGACCTCAGGGACAGCCGCTGCTCCAGGCAGCCATTATGGCCTGAGCACAGCACACCAGAGAAGTGGGGATGGACAGCACTGCCACCCTACTCTTGGCCATGGCTCATTGAGATGAACCAGTTTTAATAAAATTTCATTTATCTAATCGTGCCCACCTGTGCCTGGTCTGTCAGGAGAAAGTTGGCTGCGGGTGAGGCCTGTGCAGAGCAGGAGAGCCCCCGAGCTCCTCCAGGCAAGCAGAGCCCATGCCCTTGGCCTCCGCCAGGCTGCAGGTGCTCCAGATCCTCTGGATGAGATCCCTGGGCTGGTGCTGGTGGCCAGTCCCCAGCTGAACCCTGTCAGCTCCCTCCCACCTACCTGCTTCTAAGTGAACATTTCAGATCACTCATTTGGTAAATTTTCCCTATGGCTGCACTTCCTTAGGTTCACAAGGAACCTCCCCAGTATGGGAGCACCTCTCCCCTCTCTTTTTAAGGCCTGCTTTGACTGCTCCTGTGTCACTTTGGGGACTTCCTCTTGGTGGTGTGTGGACAAAGCTTCCCACCTAGTCTTGTCAACATGGCATTCCTGTTGTTCTTCCTAAGGAAACAAATAACAAAAATACAGCGCTGCCCTGAGCGCCCTCTGCTCCCACTGAGGTGAGTAAAGCCAGACAGGGACCAGCTGCCCCATGGATGGGCTGGGGGTACTGGGACCAGACAGGGCTACCCTGACATCTGTGTTTGGGTATCGCTGGGCTTGGCTGCACAGTTCCCAGCACCAGGGCCAGGCAGGAAGCTGGAAGGAGCAGTGAGTCTCCCTGTTTTTCCAGCTGTGCAGACACATGGGCCCTGCAGGTCCCACAGGCCACTTCCCCCCTCCCTTCCCTGAGCCACAGACTCAGGCTGACATGCACAGAAATCTGCCTGGACACGAAAAAAAAAGGCAGGAGCCAGGGAGCCTGATGCAGGTTTTTTCTGTACATCAGTGTTTTTGACACCACAGCCTGTTGCTGCATATAATAAAACAGAAATCAGAAAGAGCAACCAGAATACACACCCAAAGGCAAAAAAACCCTTGGCTTAAAGAAGGTGCTGCCAGGCCCTCGGGGGAAGGCTGGCAGCAGGGCTCCAAGGGGGAAAACGCCTGCCCTGGCTGGGAAGAAACACAACACAAAAAAACGAACCAACAAAAAAACTCACCCAAGGCTCCCGCTGCGGAGCGGGGAGAGCCAGAAATCCCCCGATTGTCCCGACCTCAGTCCTGTTAGCACCTGTACAATAAAACTGTACCGGCCCCGAGGCAGAGCAGCCCGCCCCACCCGCTGCTGCACAGAAAGCTGCTCCCGGGACACCGGCGGGGAGCGGGCCAAGGGGCGGCTCCTGCCCGGGGGACAGAGCCTGGGGCGGGGCACAAGCTGCCGAAGCCGGGGACGCGCGGGGGGCCGCGGGCTGCGCCGGCCCGGGCGGCACCGCCGGGGACAGGGAGCAGCAGCACGAATGAGATGGAGGAGGAGCACGGGAGAGGATGGAGCAGCGGAGCTGGCTCCCGGCTGCGGCTGAGCGCTGGCAGCAGGAGCCAGCTCCAAAGCCAAGGGAAGGGGCTGTTCCCTGGCTTGTTGCCAGGGAGGGACGGGAACCCCTGGGCCTGGCTGGCCTCGGGGTACGCTGGAGAGGGGCGGGGGACGGCCTCATCCCACAGCCCGGAGCTCACCATCACAGTGATACAGACTCAGCAAAAACAAAGAAAACATTACAAATTAAATACTAATTAAATAAATACTATGGAAGACATTGGGAGGGGGAGGGCAAACGGAGAGGCGCAGTTCCGTAGGGTCCGGTGGGGAGGGGCGGCGGCTCCCACCCCTGGCTGAGCCCCGTGCAGGGGGTTCCATCACCCACCGGAGCTGGATGAGGCGGCGGCGGCAGCGACCGCCACTGCTCGTGGGCGGGGGACCTTGGGAATGCCTTGGAGGCGAGGGTCCTCCCTCCCCAGCTGGAGGAGACCCTGAGGAGAGGAGGAGCGGCTGCTCAAAGACTCAGGTCCCTGCTGCTGGCGCTGAGAGAGCTGCTTCCCCTTGGTCCTTATTATTGCCTCGTGATGCCGGGAGTGGCCTGTCCCCGTCAGCTGCTCCAGGCCTGGTACTCCACCGCCGAGCCCAAGAGCTGCAGCAGCTCGGGCTCGTAGTGCACCAGCTCCACAGTCTCTGCCGTGCCCGGCGCCAGCTCGGGGTTTGCTGGCACCTCCTCCTGCGCCAGCACCTGGCTGAGGGACACCTGGCGCTGGAACTCTGCCCGGGGCAGCGTGGCCACCTCGAAGTGCGGGAAGCGGGCCTGGAATATGCGGGAGGACAGCTTCAGCCGCTTGAGCACATCAGAGAACAGGAACCAGTTGCAGGGCCTGCGAGGATGGCAAGAGCACGGTGGGTTAACAGGCGTGGAGGGGGCTGCATGCACGGTGCCTTCCCCCCTGCCTCCTGGCATGCTGGCCCTCCCCTCTGGCCCTGGCACCGTTCTCCATGTGCTGCTTCCCCCCAGGAGCCCACGGACTGGGGTTTGATCACAGCCTCACAGCTTTTTAAAACACTCACAGCCAGTCAGGGACACTGATGTGAAAGTCCTGCCTTCAACAAGGTCCTGGCAGCTTCCCTGCCAGGAATAAGCTACATGGTCAGGAAATGGAGCTTCTGGTGTGGTTTATTGCTGGAGGGCATGTTGTATGTGTCCCTCTGCATGGACAAACACTGGCAAGCACAGAAATTTGCTGCAGAGAAGAGTTGTGCTTTGGTTGCTACCTCTTCCAAGTCACCCTTCTGCCCCAGCAACAGCCACTGTGTCACAGGGGGTGCAGGTGGGAATGTTGTTCCAGTGCTGAGACTGATTTAGGCATGATAGAAAGGAAACAATCTCAGAGCCGTAAGTGTGAACTGCTGCTGAAGGAACATGGGGCTAGAACTAGCAGGATCACAGGGATGAGAGGGGAGCTTCCTGACAGGCACAGCACAGGGACACTCAGGGCAGCAGGATGTGCCTGGCCATGGAGGGTAGGGGGAAGCCTGATGAGCCTTCCCTACTCCCTGAGAACATTCCAGGCTGTGCCAAGCCAGGCACTGCTTCCCCAACTTCCTCAGTGCCACAGCCACAACTTCCCTCTGCTGTCCACAGCAGCTGTGGCTGCCCCATCCCTGGAAGTGTCCAAGGCCAGCTTGGATGAAGCTTGGAGCACCCTGGTCTAATGGAAGGTGTCCCTGCCCATGGCAGGGGGGGTGGAATGGGATGAGCTGTAAGACCCTTCCCACCCCAAACCATTCTGGAATTCTGTGATGATTATATGAAAAAAAACACCTGAGATCCATGAGCAGCTATTAACCCCACTGGAATAACCAACGTGCTGCTGCCCATGCCAGGGCTGCAGCCACCCATGGTCCTGCTCAGTGCTCAGGGAAAGGCACTCACCCCCGGGAGACGGATACTTGGAGGTTGTAGCTGGGAAGCAGTGGCTTGTCTGAGAACTCAAACATGAAGTTATCTGCTTCTTGCTCCTCTTCCTCCTGGTCTGAGCTCCCTGGAGGGTTGAGCAGCAGGTCACAGCCGATGCTGTCCTTCCCCTCTGCAACAGGACAAAGGTTGGCACTGCTCAGTCACACACCAGCCCATGCTGGTACTCCCTGGCCACTGCCACAACCCCACAGGCACCTTCCCACAACATTCCCACAGCCATGTGAGGACTGCACCCCTCAGGCTCCCCCTCCAGCCCCTCGTCCCAGACGAACATGGAGCAAGTGCTGGCTCTTCTGCATAGAGAGATTGCTCACTGGCCAGGTGAGATGGGGAGAACATCCTGAGTCATGGCAGGAAGCTCAGGTGTGCTCTGGTCCCACAGGTGGGGCAGGGCACAGTCTGCACCATCAGCCACCCCACTGGTAGACCCCAGACTCTCTCCAAAGTGACCTTGGCCCCTCTCCCATGCCAGCACAGACATCCTCAGCCTGGAAGAGCCTGGAACAGCGAGAAGGGAGGTGGATGTAGAGAGACTTTGCCTGCACAGGCCCTACCAAGGAAGTCACAGCAAGCACTCTGCTCCTCAAGAGCTTCTCCACCCAGATCCCTCCCTCAGAACCTCTGGCAGGTGATCCAGGGCAGTCAGCACCCATCTCAGTGAGGACAGCAAGGCAGTGCCACGAGAGACTAATCCAACCAAGCAACAAGCATGAGGCGAAATTTAAGGTGGATATACAGAAGTTCTTCCCTGTGAGAGTGGTGAGGCCCTGGCACAGGGCTCAGAGAAGCTGTGGCTGCCCCATCCCTGTCCAAGGCCAGGTTGGATGGGGCTTGGAGCACCCTGGAATAGTGGAAGGTGTCCCTGTTCATGGTAGAAGAGTGGAATAAGATGGTCTTTAAGGTTCTTCCAACTCAAACCAATGCATGATTCTATGACTTAGAGAATTTGCCTGGGTGTTCCAGGAGGCATCTGAGCTCCAGCAGGATCTGTGTCCAGAGAGGATGGAGAACAGCAGGCTGGATCCAAAATAATTTAAAAACAGGTAATTTCCCTATTTACCAATATGAAAAGCTACTGTAGAAGAGAAGCTTGCTGCCTGGATTTTATTATGAAGAGGTATGAATAGTCTTAAGTTTGCAGAGTAGTGTTGTCCCACTGAGATAATACAGGAGACCTCCAAAAACTTCCAGATAAGAGAGTTTAGATTCTACAGAGAGCAGCGAGACCCAATGTGTCCCTAAGCAAATAAACCAATCATGCAAAAGTTCAACCCCACGCACAAGAGAAAAGGCTGAAAAAAAGAAAATCTTCTGGTGTGCTGCACAAGGAAGCTTCACACACCCAGCTGCTCACCCAGCACGAGTGGGATTCCAACTGAGGAAAACAGCAGATGACAGGGGACAGTGGCTCAGGCAGGGTCTTGGGAAAAACAGTTATTTCCTAGTGCTGCCAAGGGAAAAAAATTCCCTATGAAACAGGGTGCTGAAATCATCCAAACTTGCTATGGAACAGGACAAAAATAAGTGACGTGATTATTGATCCAATGTTGCTGCTGGCAAAGTTCAGATGCCTTCACTGAAAAACCTCAGATATCCTGAGCAACTCAGAAAAAAAATAATTAAATGCATTTAATGTGGCAAAAATAGGGCTCACTGTCTGTCCTGAAAGCTCAGTCCTGTCCGTCTGCCCGTGCAAAGGCTGGGACGAGGACAGGAACATTCTGTACCACTGAGGGAGACAATCAGGCACAACAATGCCTGTCCCAAGTGGAGACAAACCCCGGACTGGGACTTTGTGTCTGGAGCTCCAGCAGCACCAAGCACAGGACACTGATGACTTTTCCACACCTCAGAGATCCCACACCCTGGCTTCCTTCATTATCCTTCTGCCCCCAGAGAGTTGCAGACCTCAAGGAAAATGTGGACAGCATTCCTGCCTCAAAGAATAGGAACAGCTCAAGCAGGGCTTGGGATTTCTCCTGTATCCTGAGGGACATACAGTGCTTCAGCTGGTGGAGCTAATGGAAAGGGAGATTTCAAAGGACGGATCCACGGGAGGAGGAGAGTTGTTTGCTGCCTGTGATGATTGAGAGCAGCTCCATTATTCCAGAGCAGAATGAGGTACTTCCCTGCCCCGGGCTGGGAAGTACTGTTCCAGGTGACCCAAGGTGACTGCTGAGGTACCTGAGATAGAAAGGGACATTGCAGGACACACAGTAAACAGGCTGTAAAGAAACCAGCCCATGTCTCAGGCTTGGGCATCCTGGTTTTTCTGCAGCTCTGGCAGTGTCCAGCAGCAGTGCCTGCACAGGTGACACGGGGCTGGCACCGCAG